TATATATATATATATATATATATATGCAAGTTATGTAGCTTTGAAAAAATTTAAATAATATAATTCAAGTATAATTTCACATATGCTAAATACTTGGTTAGATTTACTTGATACAAACTCGAGCAAGTGTATGGTGACTGAAATAAATTTGGCTCATTGATTTTATTGTGTTACTTGTAAGGATTTATTGTAGAGGATGAAATTTAAGAACTTATTATCTTTGTTCCAGAAACAAATATGACATCACGTAAGAAGGTTTTACTGAAAGTTATCATCTTGGGTGACAGTGGGTATGTATAATGATTATTTTTTAAATGTGTCGAACACAAATTTCAGATTGACTGTTGCCAAGTGGATGTAAAACCTCAACATTTTACTTATTCTACAGATTTTTCACATTTTTGTGTAGGTTTTCAAACTACTTTTTTTCTTTTCACAAAAACCAGTATTTCCACTGGCAGTTGCCATTTGTACATATTGTTAAAAGAAAAAAAACATCTCTTGGGCACATTTTGTATCAAAGATAATCCGAACATTTTGTACTTGGTGAATTGTTAGTATCGAGACAATCAGACCACCATTTTGTTTCTATTTAAAATATACAGTAATTCCTTTTGATCTTGTTTAAATTTGATAATGAAAACTTGTTTTACTCTCACTGGTAAGTCATAATATTTGTTTAAAACATATTGCGATTAGAAATAATTATGTTGCCAGTTTATTTATATACATTGAATATGATGAACAAAAACCCTTGTGTTCACTAAATCTTATTAAGCTTATCTAATGTCTTCTCGTAGAAAAAAATATTCTGTAGCTTTCAAACAGATGTAATTTAACATGTATGCACTTTCACAAAAGAAAAGAATGTTCTATACAAACTATAAAAAAACTACCAGCTCTATGGTTTGTTCCTAAATCTTCATAACTTTCTATTGAAAGTCTTTGGTCAATGCTACAAGTGTTATGACTAGAAACTTTCCCACTAAAACCATAAACTACTACCGAAGCCACTCTATTTACTCTACTGTGACGAGAAAAGTAATTCTTCCTTTATCCAATCATATATAAACTTTATTTATATCTGTTACGAAAGCCGTTAGTTACTGGTAAATGATCAAACCACTTGATGCGACATCGTAAAAGGGATAGCAACCAATACATATACAAAAACTAAGCAGAAAAATGACAAGTGAATTGCTTGAAAATCAGTGAATGAATATATCGTCAATAATAGCGTCTTTACAAGTCTTAAGCTATTCTTTGGAATGGCCAGAAAAAATTATATATATAGATAGATACACACACATTCATACAACCTTTACTTAGGATACTTATAGAACTATTGCTTAATATGTATTAGAACATGCCCACCAGTGGTACAGTGGTATGTCTGCGGACTTACAACACTAGAATCCGGGTTTCGATACCCGTGGTGGGCAGAGCACAGATAACCCATTGTGTAGCTTTGTGCTTAATTTCAAACAAACAAACAATTATTAGAACATAGAGTACATGTGTTTTGAATGGCTGTCCATTTCTTGAGCTTGCATTATGATGGTTGTGTTTAATAATTTTCTTGGCTTTAGAGTGGACATTTAACCTAGAGTGAGTGTACTATAAGAGTTGACGTTGAGTCGTTTACAGGTAGAGTAAAATTTCAATTAGTGTACGATGTAGACTTGTTCGGTCTGTTTCCCTCAAATGAAAAATTAAGGTAGCAGTTTCCTCTTTTTTTTTGAAAGTTTTGTTCAGAATCAAGTTTTCTGTGAAGCCAACTTGAACTGAACCTTTAGAGCATGGATATATTTAAAGATAGCTCGTTATTAAAACTATCTTAAACTGTATACCATGCGATAAGTGCATAATATCCCCTGAACCAAGCCTTGAGGGTTGATTGGTTGTAGAGAAAGGCAATTTTTGTTTTGTTTTTGGCACAGATGGTACTAATTAAATTTCATAGGCTTCGGAAACCTAGATGTTGTGTTGTTCACGAGTATTTTGGTAGTAAACTTGTTAATGTACACACTCGAAGAGCAGTTATGTATTGTTTTATTCTCAAGGGTGGGGAAGACATCACTTATGAACCAGTATGTTAATAGAAAATTCAGCAACCAGTACAAGGCAACAATAGGTGCAGATTTCCTGACAAAAGAACTAATGGTTGAAGACAGGCTTGTGACAATGCAGGTAGGTGTAAAGATTTGCCAGGTAAAGACATAAGTATTGCTTTTACTGCTTATTGGAATATCTTTATTTTAGGATTACACGTCTCCATTGGAACAAATTCTGAGGCTCGAAGTAACTTAAGATGATGGGATGAAATGCCTCTTGTATATTGATGTGGTGATGAAACTATTATCCAACTCGCTTATCCATCCCTTGCCATTAAATCTGAGTGCTATGGAAACCTTACTGACTTTGTAAGAATTGGATTTATGCACTTTTGTCAATGCTTCGTTGTTGTTTCACCTGTAGTTTGATCTGATTCAGATTCCTCTTCTTATAAGTCTTATACTCGTTTCACTGGTTGCTAGAATCCCATGAAATCTTGCCTTCTTTTATCTACATCAGTGGGGTTGGGTTTTCATTTATTCATAGATTTAGCTGTTTAAAATGATGCAACCATTTCTATCTCTGGTTTTTAATGTCCATATCTAGCTCTAACTTTATCAGTTGATACCCGACATAATGTGGATGGATATATTTGATTGATTCAGATTCTTATTTCCATATTTCTATGCAATTCATGGCTGTGCTAAGCTTAGTGCATTCCTCTGAGTGTTTAAAATAAGTGTACATCTGATATAATATGATGTATTTTAAGTATGGTTACTTAGCTAGAATTTTTTTCAGAGTATATAAATATTGAGCACTAGTAGAAACTAAACCCATAACTCAGCTTAATCACTAAATGCTTTAAGTATTAATCATTGATTGCTTGATGTTTCCATTCTCACATGGCTTAGTAAAGACCAATAAGATGGAAGTTAGTGTGCCAGTAAGTATGCAAAGCCCAGAATTAACTTACTGTCAGATTACTGAACCCAACGTCTGTATCTTAATACAAAACATACTTTAAAATGTTAGTTTGGGGTGTTAAACGTTTTGTCATAAAATACCTAATGTATGTTGTGTTTCAGCTTGTATAATGTCCTTAACATCTTGTTTTATGAATGTATTGGTCAGCAGAAAAACCATAAAACTGTATAAATTGTTAGTTGTGCGTAAAAATATAATAAATATTTTAGAAATTTTATTATTTAAGTAGAAAATGGTAAATGTTATCTCATCTTAACAGAGGCATTGTGGTCTTTGAATGTTTGAAATCGGTGACACGTGTAAGATGAATCTCACCATGTCATCTTCAGATTTTGAATGCTGTCAAGGGGCAACTTATCTTATGAAATAATTCTTATTGTCATGAACATTTTTTTCCCCTGTTTTATTTCTTGTTTTCCATCTAATGGGTATTAAAGATTTTATAAATGCATTCTATCCTCAGCAGAAGATCCACTTGGCAGAATTGTTCTTCATAATTTAGTGGCAAAAATTAATGTAGTAAATTTTTTTTGACACAAATATTGGATGTTAAATCCTAAAGTAGTATTTTAACACCTGTCAGTCTTTTTATCCTTGTCAGGTATGCCTGTCAGTATTTTAATCCCTCTCGGGTATGCCCATCAATATTTTAATCCCTGACAGGTATGCCCGTCAGTATTTTAATCCTTGTCTGGTATGCCCATCAGTATTTTAATCCATCTCGGGTATGTCCATCAATATTTTAATCCCTGTCAGGTATGCCCATCAGTATTTTAATCCCTGTCAGGTATGCCTGTCAGTATTTTAATTCCTCTCGGGTATGCCCGTCAGTATTTTAATCCCTCTCGGGTATGCCCATCAATATTTTAATCACTCTCGGGTATGCCCATCAATATTTTAATCCCTGTCAGGTATGCCTGTATGTGAAGTAACTATTTTGATCTGAAAAAAATATTTTTCAAATTTCAAGTTCATTTTATTTATAAATGACATTTATTTACAATCATCAAGGTAGAATTTGATAATAATAATATCTTATTTAATGCTTATGGATGTGTGCACTAATATTTTTTGGTCAGTTTGATTATTTCTAGTTTCTGACTACACAAGTAGTGAATCATGTTTTTTTTTTCATGCAGATCTGGGATACAGCTGGACAAGAAAGGTTTCAATCTTTAGGTGTTGCTTTCTACAGAGGAGCAGACTGTTGTGTGCTTGTCTTTGACGTGACTGCCCCGAATTCGTTCAAGTCCTTAGATTCTTGGAGGGATGAATTCCTTATTCAAGCTTCACCCAGGAATCCTGAGAATTTCCCGTTTGTTGTTATTGGAAATAAAATAGATCTGGAAAACAGAACGGTAATTACTGAAACACGTGTGTAAATATCATGCAGGTTCTAAATGCTACAAATATTAACATACACTCCAAGCTAAATGTACTTAATGGCACTGCAAAGGTTAATTTCACATTTTACATATTCTTATTTTAAACAAATCTAGATCACCAAAAGAAAAAAAAAACTTTGACCAAATATGATAGCACTGACCATTAGTCTGGATTGCTTTTATTTAGTGGTTGTATTTGACCTTCATATGTTTATATGCACCCCTTTACGATACACAATGAAAAGTTGATATTTTTATGTACGTATGTTTGAGTAAGGATGTGAGTTTATACAACATCTGTTATAGAATTACTCTACACTCCCCCGTGTTCAAAGACGTATTACTTTGTATTTTAAGTTTTTACCTGTAGTGTTTTTTTAATGGTTGTTTGTTAGTTATTAAGCGCAAGGCTGCACAGTGGGTTATCTGTGCTGTGTCCACTGTAGGTATTAAACCCTCAGACTTTACCATTGGGGGTGTTTTTATTAATGAAGTTACTTACTATTGTTCCTTGGTGTACACATGGTTCCCACACAGGTCGGGGAAATGAGGAAAAGTCATTGAATTTTTATACTTTTTGTTCCCGAAATGGGAAATATGAAGGAATTTTATTTTACATACAAAAACCACGATTGATCAATGAATTTCATGTAGTTCGGTGATTAAATTTTTTAAGACATTGATGGCAAAAAAAATATCATTAACACCAAAAAAGCACATCCAGGTTAATTCTGGCACATTTAGCATGTCAGTATGCATTAACATTGTTTTGTCTCCATTGATAATTTTATTTATCATTAAGTTTGATATTCATTACATAAACAATAGCTAAGTTCTTGCCTAAACAGAAGAAAGAGCATCATACAATCCTCCTAAAACCCCAGAGGACTGTTTTACTACAGACTAAAATCAAAAACAGAACACCATCTAGAGATAGGCTTCTTCTGCTAACTAAGTTATTTTTATCTTACAACTTTTAGTGGATTAATAAAACAGTCCCCAGATCAGTAGTCATTGAAGGAATAACCTGTACAGTTACATCGTTCACATGTTTGTGTAGGAAAGATGGGGAAAAAAAAATGGACAGTGATTATTTTGGTAAAATCTGTCAGTTCAAAGATAGAACAAATATTGTCAGTTTGGTGGGTTTTTATTTCATATTTGTACTTATATTTATTCAATTAATTAATTAATTATAAAAAATATATACTTAATAAAATAATTCTTTATAAATACTTTTCTTTTGATTCGTTATAAAAAAAGAACACACTAAACATTGACTGTAGCACATAACATAATAGTGTGTGGTACAGTTTGGGCTAGAGTTGTTGACAGGCAATATTTCTAAGAAATGGGCAGGATATTACCAGTGACAGAAAACCTGTAGAAAGCAAATCATGGATGTCAATGATTAATATTAATTTGGAGATAAGTTTCAAAATAAATCTAATTAAAAAAATAATGAAAAAATTGAATGTTTCACTGTCAGTAATTAATATGCCACATCTAAAAAATGGAATGTTTCACTGTCAGTAATTAATATGCCACATTTAAAAAATGGAATGTTTCACTGTCAGTAATTAATATGCCACATTTAAAAAATTGAATGTTTCACTGTCAGTAATTAATATGCCACATCTAAAAAATTGGATGTTTTACTGTCAGTAATTAATATGCCACATTTAAAAAATTGAATGTTTCACTGTCAGTAATTAATATGCCACATCTAAAAAATGGAATGTTTCACTGTCACTAATTAATTTGCTACATCTAAAAGTTTCTGAGAATATGATGTTATTTGTTGTCCTGACTCTGTAGAAATGGTTGAACTTATGTCAGTGAGTAACTAGTTTCATCCTGTTTATCTATAATCAGATAGCTGAGAACCATATTAAAATAATACAATGAAACAAGAAACAAACAAAATGTTACTGACATGCATTCCTCGACAGAATTGGATTAATAGTTTTGGTTTGGTTTTGAAACTGTTGGCTTTCAGACCATGATATGCTCTTGAGATCAAGATGCAAGTTTTGTAGTGCTAGTGTGGTCAAGCATGGTGATGTATTAAGTGTTTTTCATTGTGTATAAATCCAAAGACCACTGAAGAATAACAATAAGGCAAGTACTTTTAGTAAAAGTTTTTCCTAGTAGCAGTTTTTATTCAGCAACATTGTGTAAGAACAAAATGAAAAACTTGACACTCGAATGGTGTGATAATACTATGGTATATATCACTTCCAGTGATAAAAGTGTTTGTATACAGTAATGTTTGTGCCAGTCACCATAGGAATAATGCAGCTATAAATGTGGTGGATATTTCATCAGCAAGTCTGTCCTGTATGTATTACTAGGACTTAAAACCTATCTATGTGCGAGTATAAATAACCTGGCAATCTCGTGAATGATTAAGACTTGAAACAAATTTTTGGTAATATGATCGATCCATAAATATGCTTCATATTTTTGATATAAGTGAACTTCATATGCACAGTTTAAATGCAAGTGTGAAAATACTACATTGTGGATGATTTCATTAATGTATGCAGTTGTTTTATATATTTTGGAAATACGAGTTTACTGCAGTGTATGGTAAGCAAGTGAAAGTTTTTTACATTTCGCACATTAGAATAATAAACATTTTACAAATGTGTAATGTACTTGTTAAAGAATACTCCAAATTGAACATGTTTCTTCCATGTATAGAAAGTTTAAATGTAATAATACAGCCGTTCGTCTATAGTGTTGTTTATGCTATACCATTTTTGTGATTTAAATTGTAATTAAAAAAGTGTGATCAGTATGCACTATCGTAAATTATCATGAAGAATGGTTTTACCAACTTTTCAAGATGACAGTACAAGAATATTTAATTATAGGTAATGATGCATTACGAGCATGGCTCAAAAGATCAGGTAATGTGAACCATGTGTACATGATTTACAAGACAGTATCGTAATGTAGATACATTAGAAATAGTCTACCATAAACGTCATTGAAGTTCACCCATGTTGAATGAAAATAAATGAATAGAGGAAAGTACAGCTGAAGTTAGAATTGATGTAGATACAAGAAAAATTGGTTCTCTTTGCAGGTGTCGACAAAGAGAGCCCAAGGATGGTGTCAGACTAAAAACAACATTCCTTATTTTGAAACAAGTGCTAAGGAGGGCAACAACGTTGAACAAGCCTTTCAAACAGTTGCCAAGGATGCACTTGGTCAGGAGTCACAAGTTGACCTTTATAATGAATTTCCAGATCAGATTAAGTTGACCAGTCAACAGAAAACAACGTCAGAGGGATGTGCTTGTTAATTTTTTACCACGAAAAAAACAAAACAAAGCATATTACTTTTGGAAAAAATACAAATGTTTTAAGATCTTTTTAATAGGTTTATGTCTACTGTGGACTTACAAATATAAATGGATGTGTGTTTAAGTTGTATAAAGCATAATATTGAAATTCTATATGAAAGTATTGATAAAGAAGGATTAGTCTGAAAAATTTAGAAACTTGTATACTTTGTTTGCAATCTCACATGTGACACAGTTCAGATATAAAGTTTTGCAGTACTTAGAAAAAACAATTATAATTTTAAGTTGAATATTTGTTTGGGAAGATGTAAATAAAATAAACATGCGAGCGAAAGAATAAAGATATTCAAATTTATATATTTTTCAGACAGAAAAAATTTATTACAATTTAAAAACAGTTTAGTACTTTTGTGCTTCAAATTTCCACATATCCAAATCTGTACTCATCAATATATATAAATATTTTACTAGTGTTGTATTACTTGTATATTTGACTTAAAGTAAAAGACCAAAACATTAGGAGTGATTTTTCAATGTTAAGTTTCAAAATATTATGATTATTAATACAAAATGAAATTGTTTGTAAACAAATACCTCACGTACCAGTAAATTTTCAGTAATTATTTTAGAAGTTATTTTGAGTGATTTTACACAGAAAACGATGAAGTTTGACTGTTCTTTTTGTTTTATAGTAATCCAAGTGCCTAAGGTATATGATTAACATTTTTTAAAACAGTTGGCTAGCACTAGTAATTCTATGGTTTCTAACAAAGAAACCGAAACGGTATATAACTTCGGACACCATTTCTTTTTACTGGTAGAGTGCATTTTCATATTATTTACTGTAGTATTTCCAGCAAATGTTTAATGTAATTCATCCATGAAAGTGTTAATAGTAAAAGAAATTTTGTTGCATTAAAAATAAGAATTTTGAGTTATGTACTTTTATCAATTGGATTACAGCGTGAATGTAACTTTTATAAAACCCTAGAATTGCAAGTGGGGTTATATTTACTGTAGCAGTTGTGGAGTGTTTCAAATATGTTGTTTAGTGTAATGTTACGTACAGTTGTATTTAATATTATCTATTTTATATAACTAAATTAAAGTAAGTGGTTATTTTTCTTTAAGTTAGATATTAAAAGTAAAGGTTTTTTTTCCACCAATAATGTGGAATTAGTTTATAAATAATAAAATGTGTACACTAAAAACCAGGTTGCGCTGGGGTCAAATATTGTATTCTTTGTTCCAATATTAGTGTGGATTGCTTGGCTTCGAAATAATATTTTGCTAAATTTGTTATATAAATAAAAAAAAAAACACATTAGTTTTGGCAAACTTGCTTTGTGACTATAATGTTGCATGGAATTCCATATACATGTTTAACCGCATTGAATAATGTGATAATTTTATAAGGATTGAAAGTTTCAGGTTTATTTTGAAGATGATCAGAATACATCTTGTGCATTGTTTTTTGGAACTAAATAATTATGGAATTATTCCATAAGTTCCAGTATAGAATCGAAAGATAAAATACCCTGAAATTGTCTGGCTGTATAATTGTTTTTGTCTGACAGAATAAAAATTTTTTTTTAAACAAAATTAGCCTCGTGTGATCCAATGCTAGCCCAACTTTTATTTTTCCACTACAGTTTAATCCACAACAATGTGGAATCTTCACCACTTTCACACATTGATACGAGATCAAACTTTTAAAAAATCCTCAACTAATATTTATAAACCTGTGTAATTATTACTGTCATCCATCACTTTTACCAGTTTTATCCCATAATTTCTGTACTTATTATATATACAGAATGTATAGCAAAAATTAAATTCATGTACACTAAATTAATTCAGGATATCAATCCTGTTGATGAGGAAATTCTTCTATTAATTCTGGATAGATTTGCAAGAAAGTTTTTGTTATAGATAAGTCTTTAATCTTTAGTTATTTATTTCCTTAATGACCACTTATTACGAATAGGTAACATGATGACCAAGGCCATGTGACTTTCATACAAACAAAAGCAGCAAACAACTTTAAAACTTCAATATAAAATATACTTTACTAATGCTACAATTTCTTTTATAAAAAAGAAACAACAACAACAGGGGTTTGTTTTATTTTGGAAAACATATTTCTTGACTATGATATCACATGGAGTTCCATGTATGTGTTTAATGACATTGAATGATGTGATAATTTTGTAAGCATTAAAAGTTTCAGGTTTATTTCAGAGTTGATTAGAATATATTTTATATACATAATTATTTTGTCTGACTTAATCTTTAGCAAACAAAATTAGTCAGATAAAAAGAGGGTTATTTTAAAAATGAAAAATGACTTAAAAAAAAAAAATAACACTTCTACCAACTAAATTGGTTTGATAAGTTTACGTACAAACAAACTTTCCTTGAATGAGACTTAAATTGTTGCATTATTATGTTTTGAAATATATGATTATAGTTATTTCAAATTAAAGAATCATACAAGTTTAATAATGTAATTTAACATGTTTACAAAAAAGGCACACCAGAAAGGTATCTTTTGAAGAAATGGAGACCGTACACAACAGATTAGCATATATTATTACTGGTAATTTGTTTAATTGTGCAGTTGCTTGTTTGCTGTTTGCTTTTTAAATAATCAGAACAACTGCTTTACACGATATTTTTATTATATATATAGACATAGCTCCAATGGCAAGATCTATGCTGAAATTTCTGAACATTGTTAAAAGATGCAGATGCTCTATATAAAATTGATCTGTATGTTACTTTTCATCAAGCCTCCAAACTGTATTGCTAATTATAGACTCTACAGATTTATGACCCATTGTTTTGTTGCAACTTTGATATCCAATCTCTCTCTCTCTCCGCTACAGCCATCTTAACCCTAACAACTGAGAGCCCGATATTAACGTCTTGTAACCCCCTTTTTTGTTTCCGTCTAATGATGAACTTATTATTCAAAATAACTTTTTTTTAGTCTTTGAATTGTTGATCACTTAAAAATTTTCTGTTATGCTTTCCACTGTTTCATCTCCTGAACCTATTCTTTCAATTTTTTCTGTCGAGTTTCAAATTGGGTTTTGTAACATTTTCACATGAATCTCACTTTTCCATTTTTCTTTTATATTGTTCCAAATTTTTGTCATTATATAATTTCTTATATTCTTCCATATCCTTCTTGTAATTATTCAACATTTCCATAAATTGTTGGTCACCTTTTGAAATTTTGCTTCTTTCATGCCACAATTCCAAGGTTTATCAAAAGGTTTTATGTTGAACTATTCAGATGTATAGTTGATTTTAACTGTTTATCGTACACCTGAAATCCTTTTTTTATAGATGAACAGAACCTATACAAACTTGATACAAAACAAAAAATATTAAAAAGAGTAATATTTACTTAAGAAATAATTTAAGTCCACACAATAACTTGCAGAAGTTTCAATTTCTCAAGATTATTAAAAACACAAAAGTAAAACCTTGTCCAATTCTAGCTATTAAGATACAACAATAAGCTCTTAAAGACTATTTTACAACTTAAGGAAAACTAGCAAGAACTCACTTGCTAAAATTCTTAAATACACTGGGACCCTATTATAATGAGGTCTGTTATAGTGCGGAACTCATTGGTCCATTTTGGACCCAAACATTTTCACTTATCTGTTTACGAGGCCTTTTTATATATGAGTTCTAAAACTGGCATGGAGCTTTTGAAATGACCTCCTTACTGCAGGGTCCCAGTGTATCTCTCTTCCATTATTTACATACTTACCTATACATTGCACAGTTCTTAAGCTAGACCTTTCCTGGATAAATTTGATAGTTCTTCCATTTCTGTCTAACGGATGTACTCATCTTATTTCAGGTATGTTAGAAGGGTAAGCTTAATTAATTTTGTTAGTTTTATTAACTGTGTCACAGATGACAACACTTCAATTTTCTTTGATTTACAACAGCGTGTCTTTTAAAACTTGTCATGAGAAAATCTACAAAACAACACTACCATGTTCCGGTTCTTGTTTCCAAGTTAAAGTTAATCTTTTATCAATACTGCTGATATTTAACTTCTTGGAAAGTAAAACCATGTTTTGAAAAACCTTTTTATTTGTCTCAACTTTCTACAGTACCAAGAGAATTAAATACATAGTGTTTTTTTTTACAATCACTAGCTTATTCTTATAACTCTTCTTACAAACCAATGAATGAATTGATTGCTAAGACAAAAGTAAAACAACACAAATACAGCTGTGCCATAAGAGACTCAAGCCAATCCACCAAGTTTCTGGATTTACTTACTGAACAGATTCTAATGTTTAATTATGTAATTACCATCTTAATTACCCCAACAAATGTTTACAGTATCATCAGGTACTCTTCACCTGTTTCTAATATACATTTTGATATTAATCACTAACCCTGTAATAATAATGCTTTACCATTTACACAAAGTAATCGTTACAGGGAATGTATAGTAATAAACAAAACATTTATCACTGATTGCTAATAATAGTACCATAATACACTTGCACAATAAAACAACGGGATAATATAAACCGACCAACGTCTAGATTGAACACAATTTAATATGTTGTATTGTGAGGACGACTGATGAAAACGTCTGTATATAAAACCCAATAGAAGTTTGGTAGCATAGTTATATAATAATTTTACATGTTTTCTATTGTATCTCAAACATTTTTTATTTTGAAAAAGTAAAATCGATTTGTCGCACCTACTTATAAGTGCAGTATATTTTGACTACTACATAAATGACTTAGTGTTTATAACATCACAATCAAATAATTAAAAGGCACAGGTAAATGTGTTTATAATCGCCACGGAAAAAATTTGGATAGAAGGGAAAATTATAGGCATCTCGCTTTCCTTTTTACAGAGTTAGTTTTTTTGGTAGTTTTAGCACATTTAAGTTTATATAAATTTTACAGAGCTGGTTTTTACTGAACGTCTTAACTGTATTGCTACTGCTAGTTTCTGCAGGTTTATCTTATGTCCTACTGTTTTGTTGCAATTTTGACACCCAATCTCTCTGTGTGTGCTACAACTGGTTTTCTGGTAGTTTAATCACATTATTATACTTTTCAAGCTGAAAGAAAAAATTTGCATTATCACCATAGGCTCTGTAATTGACTGGTTTGTACTTATCTTCTAAAGTGACCAATGAAACACTTTGATTGAATTTACAAACTATGCCAATCTTGATATGTCCCAGTGTTAATATTTTTAAAAAATAAGGGAAAAAAAACTTATTCATTTACATCATTATATGCAAATTATAAGTGAAAAAAAAAAAATGATGTGAAATTTCAGCTGCAGAATTGTCTCTGTATTTCTGGAATGCAACGGATAATCTTTACCTAACATTATCAAGAAAATTAGCACATGCAGGTTATCAGAGGAAAAGTATATTCACAGTTCACAAATTATCATTTAACTTCATAGTTTCGAACTAATAATTAAATGCACCCTGTGACTGTTTAGGCTTAATGTGTATATATATATATATATATAAATGACCTGTACAAGTATTTGGGGGAATTCATATCTGAAGTCAAACAAAGTGTGCACCCATTAATCACAAGTTAATCTTACCAAGGCATACTTTGTATTAAAGTTATCTATGACCCAACTGTTGCCTATCAAAGATATAACGGCATACTATGTGATGCTTCTGTTACATGTATTGTCACACATTCCTAATAGGAATCCCATTGCACATGGTTCTTAAATATTTATATATCTAATGTCAAAGATTTAGAAATGTTTTTCTCAAATAAATTTAAAAAAGCATATTAGTTTTAAGAATTCTGGGTCTTACTTCACATTTAAGAATATGTTAACTTTCTTAATTAATGAAAAGACTAACACTATTTATATTGTCTGGAAGATAAGAAATGTTTAATACTTCAAAAACAGGACCTACTTTATATAACATATTTTATTCACATTATATTAAAAATTCAATAAACTTTCAAATTTTATTTCAAACCTAAGCGCATAAAATAGTACTAAACGTACGCTTCCACTCTACCTTACTTATTTAAAAAGTAGCTTACACGATACTGTTATATGACAAATTTCTTTGGTTTTAGCCCCCTTCCCCCAAAAAAAGTTCCTAAATTTTGGTTCTGTATAAATAAGAACATGATCTCAGGTTATCTAGTTGTCGAAAGTTTTTTCCTAATGTTATTTAGTATTACTTTAAATATAATAACTTTATATATTCATTAATTACAAAAACAAACAGAAAATAAGACATCTTGAAAAGCACGAAAGTATGAATAATTAAAGAAAAAAAAGACATTTATAAATTTTCAAAAGGCCTCAATGTTTAATGGTATCTCATTTTAAAATTAAAATAATGAAAACAGTTCACGTAAACTTGTTAAAAGTTCCCTTCTATTAAGTATATGCTAACTAATAGGATACTTTTAGCACACTTTATAGAGCTTTATAGGAAGCCTACTTGTTACATTACAAGGAAAATTAAAGAGGCATAATTATAACCAACATTACAAATTCAAGCAGCTATAACTTCCACATATAGAATTATTAAATCTTGTTTTTCAAATTCTTCCAGTGTGGTACAGCCATCTATTCCACAAGGGCAAATACTAACTTTGCGTTTTCCGTAAGCCTAACGAGTTAAATTTCTTCAAGTGCTGATTTTTTTGACCAACAATTTTCTCAACATCACAACAAATCCGTGATAACAAAAGCTTTAGAAGTTATGTAGCATAACACCTCAAACACAACTAATTAATTCCATATTGACAATTAATCAAGACTTCTTCATACATCAATGTTTAGCAGCTTTTAAACTTTAATAAATCATAGAAAGTAGAAGATACAAATGAAATATATATACATATATATATTTTGATATTTTTTCTTAGGACAAGGTGGTTACATACTACACTGAGAATAGTGTTACCTAAACCTACAAAAATTATGAGCAATGGTTTAAAGTTCTGTTTTAATATTTGTATAAAAAATCGTAACTATCTAAACATTAGTTCAAGTTAAATCAGATTAGCAGAATATAGCCTCAATTTTCCTTTATATATATATACATATACATAAAATAAAAAGCTGTTCTTTTTTGCATATTAATCAGCAAGTAATTGTACAAATCAAGTAGCTAATAAATAAAACCCTCCAATTAAACTTCTAAAGATAACAGAGTAAATGTAAATTTTGATGTATTCAATAATGACATTTATTTACCAACTATATACAGCAAGCTATCGTCAAACAACTGTGAATTTGATGTGTGTGTCACTATTAAACTTTCTCATCGTTATTTTGTTGTTGGGGTAAAATCTGATAAATTGTCTGAATTTTGAAAATGAAATTATAATGATACACTCATCTAAGTCCAAACAAAAATCTAATATTATAAAAAAGAAGGTAACGCTATCAAAGAAGTCAAATAAACATCTTATAAAATTCTGATTAAATTTTTCACATAATTATTATAATTTCTAGTCGAAATATTTGTTCCCAGTCCTACAAATACATGTTGATGGATAGCCAATATTTTACCTTTTAATAACGTTTATAGTATAAAAGCAAACATTACGGTCTATGGTTTAGCTCGTGTCTGAAGAGTACTAATATAATGTGGACCCTTTTTCAAAGCCACACATTTTTTCTTTTTTTCTTCAAAGATGGAAAATTTATATATATATACATATACATACATAATTTTTCCAGTGTATATTACACCAGGGCAAAAGAGCCAGAAAAAAAACTTTTATCCCGAATTACACAATACTTTTCATCATTTGCAACATCCACCACTAGACTGCTGTTGGTTTTCACTTAGATCCACTCCTCGTCTTCCTGGCCCAGACACACCGCTTGCTGAATGTTCATTTTTAGGTAGCTTTTTAGCTATATAGAGATAAAGAAAATAAAAATTTGATCGTTAAAATAACCGTGTTCTAATCCTAAGGAATTCATCAGTACGTAAAGTTAATTAACATTACTTACGTCAAAAAAACAACATTTCACTGTACTAGTTTTCATACCAATATTTAAAAAATGCTTGTAAATTCCATGATAAAAACAGAAATGAATTAATGACAAAAATTACATGACATATTGCACTTTTTTTTTTGTTATCACCAAATCGCACGTCACAGGGCTGAAAATAATTTTTTTTTTTTTTTTG